AGCCACCGCGCCCGGCCCCTACTCAGATTTTTAAGGCATTGGTGCTGGCCCTAACAAAGCAACTGACTGGCAAGAAAGTTTGTCTTCCAATCGCTTCTGCTCCTGCAAATAAATGCGTCTGCCACATATGTCTACTGGAGGTGTCTATGCATGTTATTTGAAGAACCTGGAAAGCTCACCATTGTAAACCATAAACGCTATTGTTTGAAGGAGCACTGGGAATGTCAAGGTGGCCACGAGTAACAGCAGAGCGCAAATAAGTTACCTGTGGCTTTCTTCATGCTGTTTCGAGGCCGAGCGGGCATGGGGCGGGGGGTCTTCACGGGGTCTCTGGGACCTTCTTGGCAGTCTCCCCCTCTAAAGCCAGGGCAGCACCTCCATTCCAGCTGCGTCACCGTCTTGTACCGAGTGACGTATCTGGGTCTGAAGTTCACTCGGTATCTGTGGATGGAAGGGAAGGCATCTCTCTTTATTAGCTGCTGTTCTGAGCACCTCCTGGGGTTGGACCCAAATGAAGAGGGTCCAGGGCACACAGGGAGCTGCCCGCTTTCTCCAGGGTGACCTGGAGGGGTCGCTGGTCTCCTCCATCCAGCTCTGGCTCTGGGGTTCAGCCAAACTCAGCCCAGCCTCAGGGAGGCAGGGGCTCCCGGCATCTCCCCACCTGTCCCCAGCAGAGGCGGCGGACAACTTAGACCATCTCCACCCACAATTCCAGAGATTGACGTGGACACTTTTCAGCCCCCAAACTGAGTTTTTGTTTCACCAACAAACTTTTGTTCTACAACTCACAGCTTTGTGGGGATCTTTTCAGGTGTAACTCAGGGTTGTTTTGTTTCATGTTTTAAAGAAATTCCCCTGGCACCCCTGTCTCCCATGATATTCGTGTATCCTCCTCTGCGCCTTCCTTCCCTGGCGCTAGCAACGGTAGCAGGCCACGAGCCTCTGGAGACGGCACCCCACGCTATTCGTGTTCAGATCTTTTTACAAAGATGCGCTGGTCCATGCTGCCCATGACAGACTTCAGGAAGCATAACTGGAAGCATCCAAAACTCCTGTGGAAAGTGCACGTTCCCTGACGTGCTGGGATAGCACAGAGGACCTGCGAGGCTGGGCCTGGGCCACGACGGACAGCGACGGCCCAGTAGCCCGGGTGCCCACGAGGGACAGAGCCGGTGTCCGGCTCTGCAGGCGCTCTTGCTCACAGCACAGGCGAAAGCTACGGCCACACAGGACGGGCCCTCCTTGATTTACCCCGAATTCTATCTCCTGGCTTGAAACCACCGCACTCTTGAACCTCTTCACTTTCCCTGGCTTCCTACACCAGCGCTAGCAGCTGGCCTTGTTTGGGGACCAACTCCCAGAAAGAAACAGGCCTCGTGTCACTTCCTCGGGGCTGTCGTGTGCTGCTCATGGGGGAGCCGGGACCACTAGCTGCAGGGGCTCAGCCGGCCAAGCAGCTCATCCCAGCAAGTCGCGAATCACTAAACGCCACGGACCTCTGACATTTTCGACGGTCAAATCCATGACAATCAAATCCGGGGTGTAAGGATCTCTTCCGTGGGCAGGCGAGGAGCCCCTGCATGATCCCAAGAGACTCGCACTCTCCTAACGCCTTCTGCGGTCCCTGTTCGCCTTGGTCTTTCAGGGCAGCGCTGCTCCACCTGGGCTGACAGTCACCGGGGAACTGTGAAAACATACCCATGCCCGGGTATGGTTCGGATTTAGGTTCGGATTTAATGGGTCTGGGGAGGCCCAAGGGGAGCCTTTTGCAAGGAAAACTGAAGAGAAAGCCCAATAAGTAAAGTGAAAAAGCAAGGGCAAGTGGAGGGGGGACAGGCCTCCCTTCGGGCCCTTCGTTCTCTCATTCCCACCCCATCGAAGCCCCACTGTTTATATTTTCCCCTTCCACAAGTGAGAAAACAGAGGCTCACAGGGGTTGAGTGACTTTCCCAAGTTCAAACTGACAGGAAGTGGCAGGGCTGGGATTTAAACCCACATGTCCGCCCTGTACCCGACACGGCCCTCCCAGCACGCAGAAGCAGCCATCTTCTCTGGCAACTGCCTTAGATTTGAGGAAGTGGCCCTACCCAGAGATGTTCCAGAAGGCTCTAAAGGCTGGGCAAGAAGGCAGTTGACCCCCCACTCGGCAAACTCACACCCGAGCATCTCTCTCGTCCAGGCACATACCAGCCCTGGGTCCCCCCACCCCACCTCCCAGAAGAATCCTCTGTGTGGTCCGCGAAAATGTCAAAAAAAGAATAATTCCACTTCATTGTTTTGCATACTCATGGAGAGCATAATGCTAGAAAAATGTGTAATCTCAGAAAAACTGTTCCTCTGAGCATTTAAGCGTGAATGCAAAAATGTGTTTGGTCTTGGCTGGGTTTTGTTCATCTGCCAGTGGACGACAGTCCCTGGGGAGCCCTCTCGGCGAGGCAGAGCGGAGACCAGGGAGCAGACTGCTGGGCTCGTGTGCCCTGGCAGAGGGAAGACCCCAGCCCAGCCCAGGGGCCTTGACCCCTTTCGCATGGCGGGGTGTGAGAAAGGCCTTGCTTTGCCAACACACTTGGTTCTTTTCTTTAAAGGCAGCTGCGGCCACGGAGCCAGTGCCTAAGTGAGGGGAGTTCGCGGGAGCCCACGCCCGCCCCCAGCCCCACCCCGCGCCTCGCTCTGCGGTCAGGTCCTGGCCGCAGGGCTCCGTCGACGGCGTTCCTGACAAGTTTTCAAGGCTAAGTGGGGGAGAGGACTTCCTGGTGGGCAGCGACAGCTGGAAAAGACCAGGCGGCCACCGCCAGCCATGGGAAAGCTCACGCAGGGACATCGCCATGCACCATGATGACCAGAAGTGGCCGTGGGGTCCTGCTAGGCGGCCCTCAGGTTCAGTGCAGGGCTTTGGGGAGAGGACACAGGGCTTGTCCAAAGCTCTACTGAGATTTTCCCAGCAGAAAGCAGGTTCCTGCTAACTCAGCGGCCAGCCAGAGGGTTCCCAAGGAGCATTCCTGAGCCTCCCTGTCCATCACCCAAGGCCCCACAGGAGAACGTCCTAGCCAGCAAGCGAGCTTTTAAAAAACGTCAAGGCCTTCTAATTTAATTGGTGGGCTGGGGATACCCATACTTTTCAAAAACTCCCCAAGTACTTGTCAAGCACAGCCAGAGTGGAGAAGCCCCAGACCCAGGCTCCATGTCCTCCCTTCAGGAAATCCACCCACCCTCCGCCTGGGGCCAGGGGGCCTGAGCGGGCAGCAGGGGCTGGGAGCTGAGCCAGGCAGCCCAAGTGTCCCTGTGGCCCCTGGCTGTGAGCACACGGGAGATGCTCACTGGATACCTATCTAGCTAACTGCACCCAGCGTGGCGGCCACCAAGCCCAGGGACAGTCGAGGCGGCACTGGGCGGAGCCACAGAGTCAGACTCAGGCTGCAGTCTGGCTCCCACTCCCAGGCTGGGCTTGGGCCCGTGACAGCTACCTGTCCCTCGGGGGAGCCCAGCCACAGCTGCCTCGGACACCCATGGGGTGCCTGGGGGCTGTGACCCCACAGCCCTGAGCCTACCACTCTGCCATCTCATCTCTGCGAGCTCTCGTCCACTCTTCCCAACTCTCCTTTCCCCTCTTCTTCCTCAGAAACCTTTCTTGAAGGTGAAACAAGGGTTCACCATCCTCATGAGTTGGGCCACCATGCTGAGGCACCAGAGATTCTAACGAGAAGGAAGGTGCTGAGAAAAGGTCTAGAAAAGTCGCATCAGAGTTTTGGGACCATGAGACTGGAGGAGTCCTGCTAAAACAGAATGTGACGAAATGACTGTACCTCCGACAGCTCCCCACAAAGACTCCTTCCTACTGACCGCAGCTGAGACCTCTCTCCGAACACGCTTCAGTTCATACTGTGTTTGCCTGTTCAGGGTTCGTCTTCCCTGCCGGACCCTAAGCCCAATTAGGGCAGAATTCCTGTTGGTTTTGGTCTCTTCAACATCCCATTTTTTTGATTAATAGATTTTATTTTTTAGAGCAGTTTTAGGTTCGCAGCCAAACTGAGCGGAAGGTGCAGAGATTTCCTACACACCCCCTGCCTGCACACACACAGCCTCCCTGATATCAGCACTCCACACAGAGATCCATTCGTCACAACTGATGAACCCACATTGACACGTCACAGGCACCCAGACTCTGCAGTTTACATTAAGGTCACTCTTAGTGTTGTACATTCTGTGGGTTTGAAAAAATCTACAATGATATGACGTGTCCACCATTACAGTACCTTACAAAGTATGTTCACTGCCCTAAAAGTCCCCTGTGCCCTCTGTGTCCTGCCTGTTCATCCCCCTCCCCACACCCCCTGGCGACCACTGACTTTTTTACTGTCTCCATAGTTTTGCTTTTTCCAGAATGTCATGGAGTTGGAATCATATAGTATGTAGTCTTTTCGGATTGGCTTCCTTCACTTACTAACATGCATTTAAGTTTCTTCCATGTCTTTTCATGGTTTGATGACTCATTTCTCTTTAGTGCTGAATAATATTCCACTGAACATCCCCATTTTTAAACATAGTATCTGCCCTATTGTAGGTGCTCAATTATTAATCATTAATTAAATCAGTAACTGGTTAATCAAACAACTAATTAATGGTACTAGGTCTACTTGCACCAAGGTTTTAGGGAATCCGATTGTCCGTATTATAAACCCCGGAGTTATCCTTGGTCTAACCCAAGCAGATGTGGATTCCTGAGTCTTCGAAGAACCGAACCAAGGTCCAGAATCCTCGGGTTACGGTGACCTGGAGCTATGCTGTCCAATAAGGTAGCCGCTAGCCACACGTGGCTACTTAAATTTAAACTAATAATGTAGAACACTTAGTTCTTCAGTCACGGTAGCCACATTTCAAGTACGTACTAGCTGCAGGTGGCAGTGGCTGCAATAATGGGCAAACGAACGTCTCCATCATCGCAGGAAATCCTATTGGACAGGCTGAGCTACAGATTAATGAGATTGTCAAAGAAATCAGCAACGGACACACAGCTGTTCACCTCTTGATTTCTAACCCACACTGACTGTCTTCTTCCTCTTCCCACATCCCTTCTAGAACTACCAGCAGAAAATAAGCCCACCTTCCAGCCAAGAGATCATCTAGACAGCTGTTCCACAAGGTGAGGCTCTTTGCTCTGCATTTAGCATTTACCTGTATTTTATTTTGACACAGGCTACTAAAACGCTACACAAATTGAAAGCCCAGTGCTCCCTTGGAGACACTCACTCAGCAGGGATTTCCCCCAAGAACGGACTTTCTAGTAAACGCCTCTCCTTCCAGTCCCTGGCCTGCCCCAGAAAGCCCGGAGCCAACTCTTCCTGCTTCATTCCGAGTGTGTGGAAACAGTGCTGACTGGAACGGAACTGAGAGGACAGAGAAGAAAACAGAAAGAAGAGGTATGTCCCCAGGGAGAGAAAGTA